GCCAGGAGAGTCTGTTCACCGAGCCCACAGACATCTGTCTGGGGTCTTTTCTGCATTCTTATCAGAGGGCCCTTTGGACAACAGGACTCCGCTCCTTTGGGTCTGGCGTGATTCTGCACCTTGCAGGGGGTGTGGGGTGACCAGCGGCAGTCAGGACAGTGAAAGGGAGAGGAACCAGGAGGAAGGCAGGTTACAGGAAAAACAAGACAAAAAATAACTGTAAACAGGGCCAGAGGCCAACTGTGACACTTGCTATGAGTCTTGGCCCCTCCCCTGAGTTGCCTGGTGCAAGGCACGCCTCTCCCCTCACCTTGGCTTCCTCTTCTCTGAAACCAGCCCTTTGCTGGGGGGTCATGTCAGGCTCTGCTGTGTGGTCCTCATGCAATACCATCATCACTCTGCCGCCCCTCCCTGAAGAGGGGGGAGGTGGCCATGGCAACTCATGGACATTGGTGCGGGATGAGCAGGCCTCATGGAGGGGCCATGCTGGCCTCTGGGGTCCATGCCCAGCCCCCGCCTGGAAAGGGGGTCGGGGGGCAAAGCAGAAAAGCCCAACAGCTGCACCGCTTATAGGCAGAGCCATTTCCCTCCTGTTTCTTGATCTGTAAACTTGTGCTCCCACAGACGGCCATGACCACCAGGGAGGGCCTCCTCGGGCAGGTCACTGTGGTTCTGAGGCACTGACCCTGCCACCAGGGACAGGTTCACAGAGGCCTGATCTAAAGGGTCAGGGGAGAGGCGGACACAGTGGCCTTGGGCTTCCCCCAGGGGGGGGAGGAGAGCCTGCAGGGGACAGTGGCCTCTGGGAGAGGAAGATGCTGGAGGGCTTCTCAGAGGAGGTGATCCCAGAGTTGGGCTTTGAAGGATGAGCATGTTGTTCCAGGTGGAGAAGCAGGTGCTCCTGGCAGAAGGACCTACAAAAGCAAATGTCTGGAAACAGCCTGGGCGGGGCCTTCAGTAGGAGCAGGGACCAAGGCAATGCAAGGAGGCAGTGAGCATCTGCTGTGCTCAGGGTTGTGCTCATTGCTGGGGACAGAAGGGTGACTAAGGAGAGCATTTGAGGGAGTGTGTGGTGGGGATGAGAGAGAAATGTTGTGGGGACAAGCCCATGGGTTGGAGGGAGAAATTTACCCAGGATCCCACTGTCTGTCTGTGGCAGGTCTTCCTTCTAGAAACCTGAGGGAGGCAGGATGGGCTGAGTGGAGAAGGACCTCGGAGGTCAGACCTAGGGTTGCTCTAAGGCAGTGGTTCTCAACCTTGCTGCACATTAGAATCACCTGGGAATCTTTTTAAAATCCTGACTTCTGGGCCTCGTCCTCCAGAAATTCTGTCTGTGGCAGGTGTTCCTTCTAGAAACCTGAGGGAGGCAGGATGGGCTGAGCGGTGAAGGACCTGGGAGGTCAGACCTGGGGTTGCTCTAAGGCGTCAGCAGGCAGGGTGGGGCTTGCCTGGCGCAGTGCAGGTTGGGTAATGTGGTTGATCGTGAGCTTCTCAGAACCTGGGCATTTGCTTTTGGTTTTGCTTTCCAGATACCTTGGACCCAGAGGTTTTTGTGCAGACACAGCTGCGGAGTGGATGTGCACAGCTAAGAACAAGTGGGTCTTGTCTTAAATCTTCCAGCGGGAGATTCTAGGTAAGTTGGGAGGGTAGGAGCCCCTCCCATCTTCTCATCCTCACACGTTCTAAGACAAGGATCTTGTCACTATTGTATAGAGGAGGGAAAACGAAGATGGGGGGGTGGTGGTAATGGGTCAAAGGGCACATGTAGCAGTGACAGAGCCCGGATTGGAACCAGTTTTGTCTGATGTTCCTCCCCACCCCAGTGCCCCTAAATAGTGGAGAGGGAGGGGGACACTGCTCAGGTGGGTTCACGTCCTCCCGCCAGCTCAGCTAGACCTGGACTCCCTGAGACAGGAGCCAGTGACCCCAAAGGAAAGGGGATGTGGGGGGAAGCAGAAAAGGTGGGGGACGGTAGTTAAGAACCTCTGTTCCTTGCGGCCTGGCTGCCCTGAGGCTGATGGGGGCAAAGGATTTCCTTTGAGATTTCAAATCATGACATTGTTTCACTCACCCTTTCAGCTTAGTGCCGGGACTTGTGGGAAACTGAGGCCCTGAGAGTGGAATGACTGGCCCCGGGTGCCACATTGAGACGCTGAGCAGGAGGTGGGTGGGCTCTGCCTCCCTGCTCTTGGCCGGCCTCGCTCATAACCGTGGGGGGATGGGAGACGTAGGAGGTGGTCCTGTGTGTCTGAGCTGGAGGAGACTGAGCCTAGATCCCTGTATCTGTACAGCAGAGACACACCTGGGAGCTGTTGCCTTATTCACACCACATCCCTCCTTAGCCTCCAGCATCAGGAGGTGTGGGCTCTACTCTGCCCCCAGGAGCTGCCTGACGCTGGGCAAGTCCCTTCCCTGAGAATGATTTCTTTTTTTTCTTTTTTCTTTCTTTCTTTTTTTTTATTGCTTAAAGTATTACAAAGAGTATTACATATGTCTCCTTTTTTTCCCACCCTTGACAATCCCCTGGCCTCCCCTACCCCCCAGTGTCTTATGTCCATTGGTTATGCTTATATGCATGCATACTCCTTGCTGCCTGGCTGCCCTGAGGCTGCCTTCCCGGGGCTGCTGCTGAGGCTGATGGGGGCAAAGGATTTCCTTTGAGATTTCAAATCATGACATTGTTTCACTCACCCTTTCAACTTAGTGCCGGGACTTGTGGGAAACTGAGGCCCTGAGAGTGGAATGACTGGCCCCGGGTGCCACATTGAGACGCTGAGCAGGAGGTGGGTGGGCTCTGCCTCCCTGCTCTTGGCCGGCCTCGCTCATAACCGTGGGGGGATGGGAGACGTAGGAGGTGGTCCTGTGTGTCTGAGCTGGAGGAGACTGAGCCCAGATCCCTGTGTCTGTACAGCAGAGACACACCTGGGAGCTGTTGCCTTATTCACACCACATCCCTCCTTAGCCTCCAGCACCAGGAGGTGTGGGCTCTACTCTGCCCCGGGAGCTGCCTGACGCTGGGCAAGCCCCTTCCCTGGGAATGATTTGTTCCTGTGTCTCCCCATGTTTAAGAATTTGGGTTCAGTCTCTCCTTGTTGATCCGTAGGCTCCTGTGTGCTGTGGTCAGCGAGTCACCTGTGGTCTGCGTACCTACTGCACACAGTGCCCCGGCCTCTCACAGTGTTCTGCCTTGGTTGATGGTAGCCTTTGCCGTCTTTAATTGTTAAGAAGTCAAATCAGTCAAAGTTTTCCTTTTTGGCTTCTGGGATTTGCGTCTTGATTAGCTATGTTTCTGCAACTCAACATGAGTTTTAACATTTCTTTCCCCACGTTTATAGTTCTCCTTTTGGTTTTACATTTAGATTCCTTTGGGATTGATTGACTTTTGAGGAAGCTTTTGTGTTTGTTTGTTTCTTTGTTTTATAAGACCTCAACAGAGGATATTTTTCTCCATTGATTTTTAGAGAGAGTGGAAGGGAGGGAGGGAGGAAGAGGGAGAGTGAGACAAACATTGATGTGAGAGATGCATCAGTTGTTATCTCCCACATGTGCCCTGTGCCCTGACCTGGTTTGGGGATGTATCCTGCAAACCAGGTCCGCGCCCTTGACCAAGAATCAAACCCTCCACCCTTCAGTGCACAAGCTGATGCCACACCCACTGGGCCACACCAGCCAGAGCTGTGCTAGCTTTTTGTTTCTTCTTCCTCCTCCCTTTCGTCTGCACCTGTGTCTCCTTCCTAATGCAGGACAGATGTAATGGTACCTACAGCCTTCAAGGAGCCTCCGGTGCAGGAAGCAAAGTGCCTGGCAGCAGGTAGTGAGCAGGAGTGGGAGGGGCTGGACAGAGCTGGGCCCGAGCCCCAGACCTGGGTGCCCCACCTGGGGGAGGGGTGGCTTTGGGATGTCCTGCTCAAGGCCAGGCGTCAGAATCAGATTTTCAAGTTCCTCTCTTCCTCTTTCTCCTCATATAAAAATGTGATGGCTGCAGGAAGGAGACAGGGGGAAATAAATGGAACTCTCAGAAAGCTGATAGAACTGCCAGAAATACATTAAATCAGTGGGGGAAATTTGTGTGAAATCTGAGTCATAGTTTTTTCATCAAGGGAGGGAGGGAGGAAGAGGGAGAGTGAGACAAACATTGATGTGAGAGATGCATCAGTTGTTATCTCCCACATGTGCCCTGTGCCCTGACCTGGTTCGGGATGTATCCTGCAACCCAGGTCCGTGCCCTTGACTGAGAATCAAAACCTCCACCCTTCAGTGCACAGACCTTCACCACAGGGGCAGGGTTGTAGAAGCTTTTTGTTCTTCCTCCTCTTCTTCATCTGCATCTTCATCTGCATCTGTGTCTTCTTCCTAATGCAGGACAGATGTAATGGTACCTACAGCCTTCAAGGAGCCTCTGGTGCAGGAAGCAAAGTGCCTGGCAGCAGGTAGTGAGCAGGAGTGGGAGGGGCTGGACAGAGCTGGGCCCGAGCCCCAGACCTGGGTGCCCCACCTGGGGGAGGGGTGGCTTTGGGATGTCCTGCTCAAGGCCAGGCGTCAGAATCAGATTTTCAAGTTCCTCTCTTCCTCTTTCTCCTCATATAAAAATGTGATGATGGCTGCAAGGAGACAGGGGGAAATAAATGGAACTCTCAGAAAGCTGATAGAACTGCCAGAAATACATTAAATCAGTGGGGGAAATTTGTGTGAAATCTGAGTCATAGTTTTTTCATCAAGATCAACAAGAAAACCAAATGGAGTGAAACCGTGGTTTGCTGTGTGGTTGAGTGGCTGGTTGTTCTGTGTCCCCGACAAGGGACACACCCCAGGCTTGAGCCATCAGTGCCAGGAGCGCAGAGGGTACCCGGGGTCAGGAGGGGCAACAGACAATAGACCTGGCCCTGTGTTTACAGATACAAATGGTACACAGTTCAAAGGTTATTAAAAGAATGTGAACCATTATTTGTAAAGTCTTAGAGCATTCCCAGGCGGAGCAAAGACACACAGGTGAGCCACCTTAGGATCAGCTATTAATATACTGGCAAGTCCCTTGGCTCTGTGTCAGGCAGGTCTCAGGAGGGGTAGTTGATAAATGCTGTTTTGCTTCTTAAAATAATGCCTACTGACAATCAGCATTTCCTTTCTTCCCTGGACTCCAAGGCAAGACAGTAGTCCCGACACTGAGAGAATCCTCTCCATGGGAAGGTCTCTTTCCATCATGATGGTTCATAGAACTGACATGATCCAGAGTGTTTTCATTATTATTGATTTTCAGTCGAGAGAGAGAAACATCGATTGTTCCACGTATTTATGCATACATTGATTGATTCTTGCATGTGCCATTCATATGTGCATTGTATTATGGAACCCACACACTTGGCATACTGGATCAATGCTTTAACCAACTGAGCTACCCAGCCAGGGCCAGAGCCCAGGATTACAGTATGGCCCCATCCCAATGGTCACCAAGACAAGGTGGACACTGACACTTCCTAAGAAAGAGCCCTCCTAGCGCTGTGAGACCACACTACCCAACCAAAAGGTTGATCATCCACGCATCCTTCAACTTGACTTGGCATCAAAAGGGGGACCGTGGATGAAAAATGGGTTCTATGCCAAGTAACCTCACAGGGTGATGTGATCATAAATTTCTAGCTGGGCAGGTCATGGCTGGGGTCACATCCCAGGCATATACTTTTTAGTAAAAGGTTTGTTTTCCTTAAGCAAGCCCTGTCCATTGTTTCTGTGCATCTAGGTGAACACACCTTTGAAATAACCACTCTCAAGAGCGCAATCTGGCCTGGCTGGTGTGGCTCAGTGGTTGAGTGTTGGCCCATGAATGAAAAGGTCACCAGTTCAATTCCTAGTCAGGGCACATGCTCGGGTTGTGGGCTTGAAACCCAGCAGAAGGCATGTAGGGGGCAGCCACTGGATGCTTCTCTCTCATCAATGTTTCTATCTCTCTCTTCCATTCCCTTCCGCTCTGTAAAGTCAATAAAAACATTTCTGGTTGTTGTTTTTTAAAGAAGAGACCACACTCTTATTGACTGTCCTGAAATCCAATCCCCACCTGTTTTCTCCCAACTTCATGTAACCTTCCTTACATCCCCTCCTTCATTTCAAATGCAGAGAAGATGCTGAGACACTGTTATTCTCCAGAGCATTTTAGATCTCACGCAGTTTGGATCAAATAAACTTTCCCAAAAATCCTTTAAGAAAAATTACAGCGTTAAAAATGAAGGGCATTCTGGCCCATGTTCTAACCTGCATGACCCTTGAGGACACTATGCTGAGTGAAATAAAGCCGTCTCAGGAAGATAAACATTGTGTGATTCCACGTATATGAAGCACTCAAATCCGTAGAGATGGGAAGTAGAAAGGCAGTTTGCAGGGCCTGGGAGGTGCGGGAATGGGGAGTTATTATTTAGTGGTTATTGAGTTTCTGTTTTATAAGATGAAGAGGGTTCTGGAGACTGGTTGCACAACAGGGTAAATATAATTTAACACTATTGAACTGTACCCTTAAATATGGTTAAGGTAGCCCTAACTGGTTTGGCTCAGTGGATAGAATGTCAGCCTGCGGACTGAAAGGTCCCAGGTTCGATTCCGGTCAAGGGCATGCACCTTGGTTGCAGGCACATCCCCAGTAGGAGCTGTGTAGGAGGCAGCTGATTCTCTCTCATCGATGTTTCTAATTCTCTATCCCTCTCCCTTCCTCTCTGTAGAAAATGAATAATATGTATATTTTTTAAAAAGACAAGAAATAAAAAATGTTAAAAAATAATGGTTAAGGTGGTAAATGTTATGATTTTTAAGATGTGTGTGTGTGTTTAAAAAGTACTATGAACTGGGAGATGGAAAAGATGGACACCTCATATCCTGTGAGCATTAATGTAAATTGGTGCAATTTGTTTGCATTAGAGTGTGGCTTTAGGCATAAAGGAATTTTATATGGTGATATCCTCTGTCCCAGTCATTCTATTTATTAAATATCTTAAGGGAAGCAATCTCAAATGCAGACGAACTTTTATGTCTAAAGGATGTTTCTGCACTATTTTCACAAAGAACTGGAAACAAGATAACATCTACCAGTGGGCATGGGAAGCAGAGAGGACCAGGAAGCGTCAGGAGGGCTGGGCAGCCCACAGCAGGGCTGCAGGGCTGGGGCCAGGGCCGCAGGACCCCAGGGCCTTAGGGCATGAGGAGAGTCTTGAAGCAAGAGGGGTGCAGGCTTGGGAAGCTACAGCCCCAGGAATTGATCAACACAGATACTTGGCATAGGGTGCAAGACATCGTTTGGGAATGAGAAGAGTCATTTGCAAGTAACACAGATGCATTAATAAACGTTTTTGTATATAAAAGAGAGTTGAGCGTAGTCCTCACAAACATGGGATTGGGATCAGGAAGACTTGGGCTGGAGTCCTAGCTCTAGCACTACTGTGAGACTTGGGCTAACCCAAGTTTAGGTGAAAACCTAGACTTTGTGATGGTTTCCTCCACGTTCCAATGGGAGCCACCATGGCGCCCACCACGTGAAATGTGTGAGAGTATTTGTTGCGGAAACTCGAAAGGAGGCTGTGGTAGACACACCATCAATATTAGCTGAGTGATTAGTCAACACAAATGTCCTCAACCTCAAATCATTTCCAAAACATTCCTCTCATCTTTCTTCCCCATGTTTGTGTCTGGTGTTACTGCCTCTTTGGTTTTATGACTCCTCAGCTGTGTGTTTCCTTGTCTGAGGATCTTCTCCTTGTGCCCCCACAGGACAAGGGGACTGTCACTGGGCTTGGAGTGGGCTGGAGTGAGGTGAGTACCTTCTCTTAACTAGCAGCTGGCAGAGCCCAGCAGACAGGGAAACACAGTGGATTGAGTCCATCTTGGCACTTGCGGCCTTCCTTCCCTGAAAGAAACACCAGAGACAGAGCCCCTTGCTGCTCCCTGTTGCTCAGCTGGCTCACCTCCGACCCCACAACTTGTTTTCTCTTCCCCAAGGGTGAAGCAACACCTCCTTCCAGCTGGACACAGACTGGTGAGCTGAAGGGGAAACTCTCAGATCCCACTGCTGACACCATGACCTCAGAAGCTGACGGGATCTGCCCAGGTAGTCAGCTTCCTCCTCTCTAGCTGGTTCCTGCTTATGATCTAGAATTGAGGGAGGCACCTCCAAGCGGCTTAAGCTACACAAGAATCAAGAACCTCCAAGGGGATTGATGAGTGTCCCTGAGCCCCCAAGAGGGTCAAGGGGAGTTCCCTCAACCAGGAGTCTATGTGGGGACCTCCTTCCTAGCTCTCTCCTCAGGCTGCTCACTGCCTCCCATCTTCTGCAACTCATGCAATGTCTCCAACCAGGCCAGGACAGCCCATGGGAGGTGGGAATTTCTTGTTCACTGTACCTGGAACCTGCTAGCTCCTGTAGAAACCTTCCCCTCCAGAGAACTGCCACCTCCCACAGCTGTGCTGGGTCCCTGACCTGTGCTCCAAATTATAAACACCTGTGTACCAGGTGTGACTGTCAGGCAGGAACTTCTTCTGTTGATCTCAGATACCCCTGCAGAGGCCCACTTTGTTATTTCCCACACCCACCCACATCCTAGCCAACAAATACACAGATGCAGTGCTCTGGGTTCCCTCCATCTAAACCCTGGTTTACTTTCTCCCTCAGGGGGTGAAGCAAGAAAAGGAAAAAACAAATCCCCCCCCCCCCCCAGGAGAGGATAAAACTTGTTCCTGTTGCAGCATAAGGGAGGAGAGGACAGATCAGAAGCCTGCAGCTCCTGAGCAGTCTCTCAGGTCCCTGAGGGAGGGCTGGAGCTGGTGGATTCCTGAGGATAAATAAGATGACCTCTTGTTTAAGGAGTGGGCGAGGGTGGGGTCAGTGGTGCCCAGGGGAGCTGTGGCCCCTGAGACCAGCCTGGAGGTGGGAGAGCTGATACTGATTGATCACAGGATTAGAGCTGAGGCTCCAACCCCCACCCACCTGAACACACCCCCTCCACTGCCCACCTTGGAGCACAATAATCAAAGCTCTCACATCAAGAACCTTGGATAAAACAAAACAAAGCAAAATAAATGGCAAAAAAAGAATGAAGAAGATATGACACTGAGTGTTATGTCGGAGAGAGCCCAGGATCGGATACATGCAGACATGTGACGAGATAATGGACTCTCCCTGGCATTTCTAACAGATCAGCATGCCAGACACAGATACAGGCTTCTCCCTGAATCCACAACGACCCCCACACAGATACTGACTCATTCCTGAATACCTGGCTGACCCCCTGCAGCTGAAACTTCCTCAGCTGAATACCTCAGCTCATGTCCCTGCCCCTCACCCAACCACAGTATAAAAAAAAACGCCCCCCTCCCTGTTGGCGTGAATCCATGTGCCCTGTCCTTGGGGTTACGTGGGTCTCCCGGGGATGCAGAATAAACTTTCCTTCCTTCCTTCCTTTTCTGATCAACTCTCTTTATTTCCTTCGCCGCCTCCTGAGCCACCTAACCTAACAGTAACCTATAGGGTAGAACGCAGAAATCACATGAATTTTTGAAACATAAGGATGCTTCGACCTAATGTAAGGAAATATATGACCAGTGATCTTCGATTGCACCTTTGAGCTTTCTGCTTCTTGGCTTGGGCCTTCTTTTCCTGTCTGAGTTTCACTTTCTTTGTCTGTGAAATAAGAATAATATGTCTTGTGTGTTTATGGCAGGAGAAACATTTCCATCCTGGCTCTGCACACACAAAACATACACCAGTCCCCAGTCCCTTATCTGCATTTCCAGAGTCACCAAATCCCTGAAAGTCACACATTTTTTAAAAGATTTATAAAAGTTATTGATTTATACAGAGAGAGAGACAAAGAGAGAGAGAGAGAGGGAGAGAGAGAGAGAGATAGAAACAAGTGGGGGAGGGAAAGTATTGGTGCCTCTCCCCCTTTTCATAAGGACACCATTCATGTTGGATTAGTCCCACACTTATGACCTCATTTAACCCTAATTATAAAATACAGTCACATGGGGCCTGGCCATTGTGGCTCAGTGGTTGAGTGTTGACCCATGAACCAAGAGGTCACTGGTTCGATTCCCAGTCAGGGCACATGCCTGGGTTGCTAGCTCGACCTCCAGTAGTGGGCATGCAGGAGGCAACTGATTGATGCTTCTTTCATATCGATGTTTCCATCTCTACACTTCTCCCTTCCTCTCTCTCTAAAAAGCAATAGAGACATATTAAAAAATAAATGAATAAGTACAGTCACATAGGTGTCAGGCCTGCAATATATAAATTTGGGGCGACAGTTCTGTCCATAACACCAGGTGACTCAGCAAAAGTTCCCCAGAGTTAAAAAATAAGTCCCCCGTGCCCTGACTGGTTTGGCTCAGTGGATAGAGCGTCGGCCTGCGGACTGAAGGGTCCTGGGTTCGATTCCAGTCAAGGGCATGTACCTTGGTTGTAGGCACATCCCCAGTAGGGAGTGTGCAGGAGGCAGCTGATCGATGCTTCTCTCTCATCAATGTTTCTAACTCTCTTCCCCTCTCCCTTCATCTCTGTAAAAAATCAAAAAAATATATTAAAAAAAAAAAATAAGTCCCCCAGGTGACAGCTGCTCAGGAAGGTGAACATTTAACCACTTTGTTTATACTCAATTCCATTTCCGTTCTACCATGATTTCTTCTAACCTTATTCTTTTTTCTTTCCACCTAGAGGGCGAAGACTTTGTTGATGTGGTTGAGTATTTAATGGACCCAAGGGACAAAGAGAAACTGCAGCGCCTGCTGAGTGATGAATCCTGGGAGAGATTTGTGGCTGCGGCCGAGCTGTCCTGGTAACCTCCAGGGGATGCCTATGTTGTCACCCCATCTTCCCTGCATCTAGATTCCTCTGGCAGGCACACTCCTCCAGGCAGGATCCTGAATTTGGGGTTGAAGAAGTCCCTTCTCAACAGTCCGTGAGGAACATTTCCTTCATATCATTCGTTGGCAGAGAAGGGCCTCAGGATGAGAACAGATGAGGCCTGCAGAGGGAGGGTTACATGACCTTGGGCCTGTTACTTAACCACTCTCTGTCTTACTCATCTGTTCTATTTCATTGTGAGGAAAATAAGACAATGCGTGTGAACTGTTTAGCCTAATGACTGACACATAGTAGGTGGACACTTGACATGAACTTTTAAAAAGATGCTGGGAATAGACAGGGCTCAAGCTTCTTCCTGTTGGATGTGAGAGCCACGCCGGACTTCCTGTGGGACAAGCCAGGAAAATCCTGGCACAGTTTGTGTCCCTGGGGATTGTGGCTAGAGAGCCTGCTCTCCCTAAGAAAGGGATTGTACAGACTCTGCAGGGTCCTGCTGGCCTGGAAGGCGGAGAGCTGGAGTGAAGCTGGACCATGTTGGGTTGAATCCTGACTGTATCTCTGCCCGGCTCTGGGGCTCTGGGCTTTTGTCATCTCCCTTTTCAATGGAATAGCAAGTCCATCTGATAGGACTATGGTGAAGGCCTTGGGGTGAACTGCAGGGTCCAGGGCGAGGAAGTAAGTGCATTCATCCTGTCCTGGAGTCCTGAGAGGCCTGGAGCAGGGGCAGAGCCCGGGGTCTGGATGGAGCAAGGGTTGTCCAGGTGGGAGGATGGTAGGAAGGCTTGGCAGTGGGGCTGGGACTAGAGTGAGGCAGCTGAGGCACCTGGCACAGGACTGATGAGGCCAGGGCCCTAGTGGATGGCTGCGCAGGGGGTCAGGGGGCACATTTCTTCCTTCCCTGATTTGATCCCCTCTTTGCTGGGGGTAGAGGGCCCTGGGTGATTATGTCCTCCAACCCTGTCTGCCAGCTGGAGGGCTCCTGACCTCCCTGTGGGACCCTCTTCTATTCTCCATGGAGTAACCCTGACCCGAGGGAAGGCAGTGAGGCTTAGTGACCGCTTCCAGTCAGAACGGGGGCTGCCAATGTGGTGTAATCTGAGGGCTTCTGGGTAGATGCACATGTCCCACCATAGAGGACAGGGCTTCCTGCATGAGCTCATCCAATTAGTGGTCTCAGCTCTAGCGATTCATACCCCTGCCTTCGTTAATCACCTGTCCTTCATGATTACAGGGATAAGGCAGATGCACTCTATGCAGACTTGAGCGAGCTGGAAGCACTCATGGCCGAGGAGGACAAAGACATGCCCTCAGCAGAGCAGCTGCATGGGGAGAGCTTTATGAAGGAGTTTCCTCAGGTGAAACAGGACCTTGAGGAACGCATACGAAAGCTCTACGCACTTGCGGATGAGGTTGACAAGGTGCACAAGGATTGCACCATCTCCAAAGTGGCGGCCTCTTCCACCGGCGCTGTGTCTAGCATCCTGACCATCGTTGGCCTGTCTCTGGCACCATTCACAGCAGGGGCTAGTCTGGTGCTTGCGGCAACTGGGGCGGGACTGGGGGCAGCAGCTGCTGTGACCGGTGTGACCACTGGCATCGTGGAGTTCTCTAAGAACAAGTCAGCAAAAGCCAAAGCCAGCCGCCTAGTGCCAACTGGCAGTGACACAGAGAAGGTGGTCGAGAAGGTTCTAAGTCGCAGCACACCCAAAATTGCTTCCTTAGCAGTGAAGTGCTACCAATCCGTGAAAAATATTGTGAAGAATGCTTGTGCCTTCAATCTGGTCAAATCCAATCCTCTCTTAGCAGCTGAGGCCACAAGCGTCGTGCGCACGGGGACAATGTCAGCCCAATGCAGCAATCAGCTGCAGAAAGCTTTTGGAGGCACTGCTCTGGCCATAAGCAAAGGAGCCAGGGTCTTTGGTATCGCCGCTGCAGGTGTTTTCCTTCTCATGGATGTAGTGAACATAGTGCAAGAGTCAGTGCACTTACATAAGGGCGCAAAGGGTCAGTCAGCTAAAGAGTTGAGGCAGCAGGCCCAGGAACTGGAGAGGAGATTGGAAGAACTCACCCGCATTCACGAAAGTCTACAGGAGGACCTGACTTCATGATCCCCAGACAGAGCAGGGAGCAGGGGTGTGTGGGAGACAAAGGCATGGACTGACCTTGTTAGGAAGCATAGTAACCTCCATCTTGGGTAAAAACGGCTGTTTAAATCTTTAACCCTGCTATTCTGGCTTCTGTAAACGTTTCGTGCTTAAATAATAGGGAAAAATAAGACTACTCCCATTCCAGAGAGGCCATAAACTATGCCCCAGAGAGAGTTGTCAGTGCTGGCGCCAGGCCAGGCCTTGAGGTATGGTCTCACGGCCCTGGCCCAGCACACAGGACTTTTACTCAAAAGGTCCGGAAGTCTTGTTCCAAATTCGGAAGACAAAAAGCTGAAAAACGTATAAATAGAAAGGACTCCACCATATTGGGCCCCAGAATTTGAGAAGCAATATTTCCTGTGGGCCTGCTAGTGTTAGCGAAATGAAAAAGACTCCAAATAAATTTGGCTTATTGAGTAAGGCAGTGGATCTCAACCTTGGCTGCACATAGAATCACCTGGGAATCTTTTTAAATCCTGATTTCTGGGCCTCATCCTCCAGAAATTCTGTTTCTTTGTTACTAATGTTGTGGCCCCACCCCATAACAAAGAAACAGAATTTCCGGAGGATGAGGCCCAGAAATCAGGATTT